GCTGAACTTTGGTATGATCAAGGTGACTACACATAACACAACTTCTCATTTAGCATTTTATAGTTACGATGTCATTGCTAGAACTTTTCTAAGAAGAGGTTCAATTTCCTATACACATGGCCAATTAAATCTCTGGTTTTGAAATGCTCATGATAATATTAAGAGTCATGTATTCCGGAGCATTGAATCAGACGAATGTTCAACAGGACGAGAGATGAGAAGGAGATGCTGAAGCACACTGACATTGCATTATCATCCTACATTTAGTGACTTAAGTATTGTATCTTTCCAAAAGGGGGATGGAATTTTAATACTTAGCACATGTGACATGAACTACCAAAAGGAAATTGTTCTGAATATTTTGGGAAAAATAAAATGCATTAGTTACAAAAACTCTTACCTGGGCCATTCCTACAGAAAAAGCGAAGGGGCTAAGAAGACACAAGGTCCATTCCAAAAAGGCAGGAAGATGTGCATACAAAGCTGTGAATCCCAGGCTCCCCCAGAAGACAATAAAGAGAAAGACAACCAAACCAGTAAGGAAAGGTTTCTTTATCAGCACACCCATCAGGAAACCTAAAGTTATCTGCGAGGAGAGAAAAACTTCAGCTGGTATATAATTCTCCACAATCCGTCAGTAGCACAATAAAAGGGATTTCATATTCTAAAAATATTTCATTAAGGTTTCCACCCCTCGATATTCTCATGCAAATAATGCAAACAAATGAGGTGAGACCAGAATCAGTGACAAAGGACAGGCAGGAAAGAGAGAATCAGGGAAATTAAATCCAACTCACCAAAGACAGGCCATAGAGGAGAAAAAGGGTGAATACTACCACATAACCAGTTAGGACGACAACTTGTGTCAATTTTATAATAAAAGCCATCAAAGTGGCAATTATAAAGATGAAGCCAGCATACAGGACACCCCAGGAAAGCCTAGCACAGAAACAAAACAGCAGTTCAGAGTATTGTAAGGTCATCACACGCACATTCTTCTCTTCAATAAGGGCCGTGGGAAGCTCACCACTCAGCAGGGCTAGAACGAATACAGTCACTACCACATCAGCAAACGTCCCTGTGCTGAAGCACCTGGGCCACAGTATCAGGTAAGGTAGGCAATAGACAGGTTTAATGGGTAATGGCAAATCACAGAATAAACAAACTAGGTGAACAATGGACGTGTTTAGGAGAGGTTTCCAGGGAGACATTTTTTGGGGACGACATCTCTATAATTTTTCAATCCCGTATAGATTCTTTTAGTAAAGTAATTGCATAAGGAAAAAAATTAGGATGATGAAGAGGGGGTCAGTAAATCTCTTCTCTAATGAACCAGGTTGTAAATACGTTAGGTTTTGCAGGTCACATGATTTCCACCGCAAGTACTCAGAGCTGCCTTTATGGCACAGAAGCAGTTGCAGACGCATGTAAGACATGCATGGCTGTGTTTCAATAAAAATGTATTGATAGGAGCTAGCAGGTGGCATAGTTGTTAAGATGCTGGACTCCCACATAACTGACTGCAGTTTGAGTCCCAGACGTCCCAGACTTGGCAGCTCATTTCTCATTTTTCCTCTTTCTCTCCCCCTCTCTGTCTCTTTCTGGTGAATTAAAAAAATAATAACAATGAAAAATAAACAATTATTTTTAGGGAACCAGCAGTTAGTGTAATGGCTATGTCGCTGGACTCCCACGTAGTCGACCGCGGTTCGTGTCCCGGACCCGGTGGCTTAAAACTCACGCTGGGCGCGTGTGCATGCGTGCCCAAGATCCCGAGAGGAGAATGGAGGAGAAGGGATTGTGGCGTGACCATCCCCCCTGGGGGGTGATTTCTCGCTTTCTGTCTCTATGTCTCTCTCTGTCTGTTTGGCGAGCGCACGCGCCCTACAGTGAAAATCTCTAAATAAATAAATAAATAAATAAATAAATAATAAAAAAATTATTTTTAAATGTATCCATATATAACAAAATTTGAATTTTGTATTTTTTTTAGAGATTTGTTTTTTTGCTCAAGGGCACATATACTCACTGGGCACACAGAGAGAAACTGAGAGAAAGTGAGAAATCATCCCCTGGGAGGATGGCCACGCCGCAATCCCTTCTCCTCCATTCTCCACTCGGGATTTTGGGCATACACGCAGGCACACTCTCCTGGTGTGAGTTTTAAGCCACCAGGTCCAGGACTTGAATTGTGGTTGGCTATGTGAAAGTCCAGCACCACAACCACTATGCCAACTGCTGGCCCCAAATTTCACATATATTTTAATGCATTGCTTTGTCCTTGCAGTTTTTTTCTAAGCATTAAAAAATATAAAGACCATTTTTCTAGATGGCAGCTCGTACAACAGCAAGTAGTAGTTTCCGGGTTGTGCAAAATCAGGTGGTGGTTTACGAAGGCCTGATATATCCAATTCTACACAGAGACAGACAGACACAGGAGGTGGATGGTTACAGATACATAGCAGGAGATGAAGATATGCTTTTCCTTACTATTAAGGACCAAGAAACAGGGGGACAGGTCTTTATAGGGGAAAAAGAGTAAGCTTCTTACTGCACATAGCTGGGTTCAAGTTATCTCAACTACACTAACTATATAACCCTGAGACATAGTTACTTAATCTCTTTAAACTTCAGTTTCCTCTACTGGAAAATAATAAGACAATTAAATGAAATTATCTGTTTGATATGTCTGACACTACAAGTGGCTCGTAATGGGTCCACAATGAACAGTTAGTTTCCTTTTACTTAGAGAATACCATCATGTTTCAGGAAGGCTTGTTTTTAATTTTCATTGCCAGAGGGCATGTGAGCTTGCTAGAGAGAGAGAAGGCACTCCTCAATAAAGCACAGCCACGTCACTGTCCTTTTTTGCCCACTTTTCCATCCCATCAGGATTTTGAGCATGTGTGCACAGTGTTAGGTATGTTTTTCAAGCCACTGGGGTCAGGATTCGAAGCAGTCACCCACACGGGATCTGGCCCTCAATGTACAGGGCTTAGCTCCTGCATTCCAGGGCTGGCTGAGGAAGTCTTGTTTTTAATACCTGATTATAATGTCCGAAAAGTTCATCTGAAGTTGTTCATCTATCTGTGTTCAATAAACCTCAACTTAATTTCATTTAAATGCTGTACAAATAAAATGCTATAGCTTTTTTATTTTATTTTATTTTTTAAATTTGTATAGGTTACTCACTGGAGAGAGACAGAGAGATAAAGAGAAAGTGAGAAATCGTCTCCCAGTGGGGAAGGCCATGCTGCAGTCCCTTCTACTCCATTCTAGGGATTTGGGGGGATGCATGCCCATGTGCCCAGCATGTTTGTCAAGCTGCTGGGGCCAGGATTCCAGTTGTGCAGTTGGCCAATTGGAACCCAGCTGCCTTAACTTCCATACCACCTGCTGGTCCACCACAATCATTTTTATGGAAGAAAAATAACCCTGATTTTTAAATAATTTCTCATTATTTTTTAATCACACACATTGATTACTTTTGTATGACTCTTGGTAGATTTTCATCATTTTTAAAAGGTATAGTGACCAAAATTTCTTTTAGTGTTGAGTTATGCAATTTTAGCACAAAAAGGAAGGAAAAAAATTTCATTATAGACCAAATCATCAATCTATCTTCTCTACTTCTACACTCAGCGTATTGAATACTTCTGTAGAAAAATAAGCAAATTTCGCATAGATCAGCAAAATGAAAAAGGTAAGGCCTTTCTTCTCAATAATAACTTGCTTTTAATGAGTATGTATCATAGTACACACCTGGAACTCTTTAGTATACTCTCCAAATCTTATTTACCCTTCAGAGCATCCCAGTGTGGAAAAGGCAAACTTAAGGCTCAAACCATTGCTTCTGACTCCAGAATTCATGCTTTACTACTGCTTGTCTTTAATGTGTGACTCGGCTAAACTCATTTGACAGTGGGGCCCCACCGACGGATTCTAACCTGAGTTTCCTAGCTTTCATCTACTGTCCTCTCAGATTGTCATACTTCCCAAAGTTCGATCAACTGCTAATACTCACTGTTTAATTTTTCTTAAGCACCATGTAAAGCACTTTAAATACATTTCTTTTCTTTTAAAAATGGTTGTAGGGCGAGCAAGTGGCATGGAGGTACTGCATCCCACATGACTGACCGAGGTTTGAGTTCCTGACCTGGTGGCTTGAAAATCACCCCAGACACATGCATATGCAAGTGCAAAACTCTGAGAGGAGAGTGGAGAGGGAGGGGTTGCGGCATGACCATCAACCCTCTCTCTGTCTCTTTCTGGTGAGTGCACGTACCCTATCGCAAAAAGTATACACATATATATTTTCTTGATGGCTATTATTATTATTACGCTAGAGGGAGTGTACATGCAGGAGAGGGCTGGAGGAAAGCACCCCCTAACAGGTCTGAACACGTCACATTCCTTTCCTACTAACTCTCGATCCTGTCAGGATTCTGGGTACGATTCTGTACACATAAGCACACGCCTGGCATGTTGCTGCTGGGGCCAGGACTCACACTCTGGTCAGTCGGAGGGATGCATTTTCTTCGTGTAGTACTTAACCACTGCTCTGTGAGGGTAGCTTGATACATTTGTTTTGTTTTGTTTTGTTCTTGTTGTTTTTTTCTCTTTTAGGTTTTTGCCACAAGGCGCATGCACTTACTGGAGAGAGATACAGAGTAGGAAAGTGAGAAATCATCTCCCAAAGAGTATGGCCACACTGCAATCTTTTCTCCTTTATTCTCCTCTCAGGATTTTGGGCATGCATGCACATGCGCTTGGCATGGAAATATTTGTCAGGACCAGCAGTTGACACAATGGCTATGTCGCTGGACTCCCATATAGCTAACTGCGGTTCGAGTCCTAGACCTGGTGACTTAAACTCGCGCCGGGCTCGTGTGCGTGCGTGCCCAAGATCCTGAGAGGAGAATGGAGAAAGGATTTCAGCATGGCTATCCCCCATGGGGGGGGGGTGATTTCTCGCTTTCTGTCTCTCTGTCTCTCTGTCTCTCTGGCAAGTGCACATGCCCTATAGCAAAAACCTCTCAAAAAAAAAAAAAAAAAAGGAAAAGAAAAGAAAAAAGAGAAGAAAAAAAGAAAGAAAAGAAACTACATTTCTGTTTTTAATCCTCATGACCAGACAAGTCGATATTATTATCAATGTTTTACAAAAAAGAAAACTGAGGTTTAAAGGGTTTCAATAACTTAGGGCCAGCAGATGGCATAACAGTTATGTCACTGGACTCCCATGTAGTTGATGGTGGTTCAAGTCCTGGGCCTAGCAACTTGAAACTCGCACTGAGTGTGTGTGTGCTTGCATGCCCAAAATCCCAAGAGGTGAATGGAGGAGAAGGGATTGCCGCATGGCCATTCTCCCCTCCTGGGGCGGGGGGGGGCAGTGATTTCTCGCTTTCTGTCTCTCTCTGTCTCTTTGGCAAGTACATGTGGCCCTAGAGCAAAAATCTCTCTAAAAAAAATAAATAAAAAAAAATAAAAAGTAGCTACCAACCACAGAGATAGAGACAACCTGTGTATTCCTGCCTACCTGGCTTGTGTTCTTACCATTCTGCCATACTGCCTCCATTAAGGAAAGTTTGATTCTTAAGTGCCTCACAGATTTCTTTTCTATGTCATAAAAAAGATGGCGTTCAAAGCGGGGTCAAAATCAATCATTTCAAACCTGAAGTACCTGAAGCATATATTTCATCAAACATTGGAAACCCTGACTTTTGTTGTACTGGGGCTCACCGAGACATGATGACAGGTGACTGAAAGTCATTGTCTTTATCGTTGGTGGTCTGAGTATTCACAGACATCTACACAATTGGGTGTTTTGGAAGTCAAAGAAATACGGTAAGTTTCAGTCAGCAAGCCTGCACATCCATCTGCCCCATAGTTATAATGCAGTACTTTATGAAAGTGACAAGTCTAACGTGATACTTTTAGGTCGAAGGAGTCTGACCAGCTAAGCTGTTGTCTACTTATACTGTGTGGTGTGTTGTAGTCATGGAATTTACCAGAATGCTGCCTCTCGAAGTCCCATCATGATCAGCAATGACTTAATGTATTGTCTTTCTTGTGCAACATTGACTGATACATTGTATATCAATGCAGAAAAAGAAATAATGCAGAAGAAAATGAAAATATCAGTTGCAAGTCCTCCTTGGGCAATGAAAGGTAATATCTTCATATTTATACCAGCAACTGACATCAGCTCTTCCATCACTGAATGATTTGTTGTGATCTGAAGAAAAATATCAATGAGAAAATTATCATTATCTAATTGAAACCTTAGGTTTTTTCTCTGAATTATAAGAAATCAACTACCACATATGTACATAAATATTTTTTTCTTGAAATTTCCAGGTTTTCTGTTGACTTCTTAGAGCATCCCTACTTACCATCTTCAGTGGACAAAATTTTACTTATGTGTTAGGACTAATGTCACTTCACTTAGCAAGTTTCCTCCCATATTTCTCATCAAAGTATCTCCCTGCTTCACTGTTTGCCTAAAAGACCATTCAAAATTCCAGGAGAGCACCTAAACTCTTCTTATGACTGTATCTGCGTATTTCCTGATTTCAAGTACTTAGCACAATGGTTTGAATCATAGAAGTTGCTCATTATATTGTGTCTAATTAATGAAGTGAATAAATGACAGGACAATACATTATATCACCATCCATCAAAATTTAATTTATAATGCACTTAGGTTTCATTTTTAACTTAATACTCACTTCTATGATAGCAGCATTAATGGCAGCTTGAAAAGCCACAAAGCCTTCCTCCCAGAACATTGAACTTTTGCACCTGACTTTTTCGTTCGTTGCGTGACAATGAGCTTTAGAAGAAAACATATCCATTGTTATAGGACAGAACAATCTTGCATGTAGGAAAAGTCAAAAGGACACGTGGTCTCAAAAAGACCTAGAGTCTATGACATAGTGTATGTTAAGACTTCCCAGCTGAGATTTTTAAGAGAACACACCAGAAGGAACTGAAATGGCTTTATTAATATTTTTAAGACCAACTCACAATAATTTCTCCATCTTATAATTACAGTTTTGTTGAGTTTTACTCTTCTGATGCTTATGCCAAGAGAGCAATAAACTTTTCTGTTTTTGAGAGAGAGAGAGAGAATTTTGCTGTAGGGTGTGTGTGCTCACCAGAGACAGAGAGACAGAGAATAAGAAATCACTCCCCAGGGGAGATGGTCACACACACATACACACGTGCCTTGCGTGAATTTTACACCACCAGGTCCAGGACTTGAATTGCAGTCAACTACATGGGAGTCCAGCAATGTAACCATTATGCCATCTGCTGGTCCCAAGCACTAAACTTTTTTTTTAAGAGATATTTTTACTACAGGGAACATGCGCTCACCAGAGAGACAGAGACAGAAAGTGAGAAATCACCCCCCGGTGGGATGACCATGCCACAAATCTTTCTCCTCCATTCTCCTCTCAGGATTTTGGCATGCACGCGCACATGCCTAGCTGAGTTTTAATCCACCAGGTTCAAGACTTGAATTGTGGTGGACAATACATGGGAGTCCAACAAAGTAACCATTACAGCATCTACTGGTCTTGCACTAAACTTTTAAAACATGTTTGGGAACCATGGAGCAAGATCCTTTTCTTGAGTTTTTGTCTAGGAGTAACATAGAAATCATAGAAAACAAAATTTCTTATAAAACCATGTACTTAAAATTACAGGTTTTGGAGCCAGTGGGTAGCGTGGTGGTGAAGGTGCTGGACGCTTCACATGGCCAACTGAGGTTCAAGTTCTCGACCTGATAGCTTGCTTTCTTGCTTTCCTTCTCTCTTTCTGTTTCTCTCTCTGGTGAGTGCATGTGCCCTATAGCAAATTAAAAAATAATAAATAAAAATGATTCTTTAGGGACCAGTGGATGGCATAATGGTTACGTTGCTAGACTCACATGTAGTGAGTGGTTTGAGTCCTGGACCTGGTGGCTTAAAGTCACGCTGAGCACAGGTGTGTGCATGTCCAAAATTTCTATAGAAGAAAGTTGAAGAGATTGCAGCATGGCCATCCCCCCTTCTCACTTTCTGTCTCTCTGTTTCTCTCTGCCTCTCTAGTGAGCACATGCACTCTATACAAAAATCTTTCTAAAATAATAATTCTTTAAAAAATGGGTTTTATTTAATACGTACTAATTCCTTTACATTCAGAAATCGAAAGTATATACTTGTGTAGTTTATTTCACTTATACTCTCACGTAGACTCTCTTAGCTAATGACACAATAGCAAAAATTAATGAATTAATTAATATCCCCTTTCTACCAGGGAAGTTACCTGAATGGTCTCTGTGCTCTTGATATGTGGGGATTCTAAGTCCAAAATAAAACCTTAAATGATATGAGAAGGTATCATTGAAGATGACTCTCACTGTATCTAACGAATAGTTGGAATCCAATGCTTTCATGCTTTTTTCATCAGGCCATCCCGTGATTCTTCTTCCTGCCATAAAGAAAAGAGAGAATAGAAAAGTGAAAATATTTCTAATGAGAACCCCAAACAGTTGCCCTATTAATTTATGTTATTTTACATTGAAGCTATTTCTTCCCTTAAGGCAGTGTTGAGACTTAAGAGACTCTCACTGGGGGCAGGGGGTGATTTCTAATGTTCTACATAAAATCAGAAGTGTTACATGACAACTTTTTTTTTGCCAAAAAATATACTATGTCTGAGCCAGTCGGTGAGTGGTGGTTAAAGTGACTGGATCCCACATGACTACCTATGTGATTCAAGTCCTGGACACAGTGCTGAGCTGAAGGAAAGATTCCAAAAGGACATTGTGCATACTGAGCTAAAAAAAAAGCCCAAAGCAGCAAAAAAAGGGAGTTGTTAAGGCAGCAGAGAGCAAGGAAAACAAGGAAAATGAAGAAAAAGATGAGGAAAAGGAGGAAGATCAAGGATGAAGATGAAGATGATGATGGATAAGTTGGTTCTACTGCAGTTTTTATTTTCCTTGCCGGTATAGCATTTAACTCTCCTGCACAGAGCTCACTCTTTTTAAAGAAAGAAATGTCAATGTAAGGCTGTGTAAGAGTTGGATTTGAACTGCACAGAATCACTTTTTGGTATAGTTATTACACTACTGAATACACTCTTAGGATAGCCTTGTCCTGGTAGTATTTTCAATCACCACTAACTTTGCCTGGTACAATATGGGGGTTGTAAATTGGCATGGAAATTTAAAGCAGGTTCTTGAAGGTGCACAACACAAATTAATTATGTATGGGGGTCGTAGTTTTTTCATCTTCAGTTATCTCTGATACAACTTATAGGCAATACTTGTTCTTTTCACTGAATAGCACAGTAATTGCCAAAAAAAAAAAAGTTGCAACTGTGTGGTTGACATTCTGAATGCTTTTAAGTACATACAACTTTTTATTAGCAAAAAAAATAGAGACTATTTCATAATTACTTATTTTGTCTACCTCAGTTTAACACAGAGAACAGCCTCAAAATAGCATTCTAATACTACACTGTTGTATTAGTCTATGATTGTATTGCTAAAGAGAAATGCTTTTAAAGGGAGTGATTTATAGAGTAGGGGTTTATCTGACTCATGTTCTAGTGACTGCCAAGTCCAAGAACATGGGTCCGGCATCACAACACAGCTGAGATAAGCAGAGGGAGGAAAGCCAGCAGGTGCAGAGAGAGGTAGAGCCGGAAAAGGTAGCAGACTTTCCCACTCTCGTTTGTCTCCACTTCATTCCCAATGGGATGATATCTGCCCCTATTGAAGGGGTTTCTTCCTTTCAAAAGGTTCATCACCTCCCAGTATATTTATATTGGGGATCAAATTTCAACACATGAACCTTGTGGGCGACAAAGCATTTCGCAAACCATAACAACTACCGGCGAAAATACAGAAAATAGGTTCAGTTGTTGTTCTCCAAACTGCTACCTATGTGATTCAAGTCCTGGACACAGTGCTGAGCTGAAGGAAAGATTCCAAAAGGACATTGTGCATACTGAGCTAAAAAAAAAGCCCAAAGCAGCAAAAAAAGGGAGTTGTTAAGGCAGCAGAGAGCAAGGAAAACAAGGAAAATGAAGAAAAAGATGAGGAAAAGGAGGAAGATCAAGGATGAAGATGAAGATGATGATGGATAAGTTGGTTCTACTGCAGTTTTTATTTTCCTTGCCGGTATAGCATTTAACTCTCCTGCACAGAGCTCACTCTTTTTAAAGAAAGAAATGTCAATGTAAGGCTGTGTAAGAGTTGGATTTGAACTGCACAGAATCACTTTTTGGTATAGTTATTACACTACTGAATACACTCTTAGGATAGCCTTGTCCTGGTAGTATTTTCAATCACCACTAACTTTGCCTGGTACAATATGGGGGTTGTAAATTGGCATGGAAATTTAAAGCAGGTTCTTGAAGGTGCACAACACAAATTAATTATGTATGGGGGTCGTAGTTTTTTCATCTTCAGTTATCTCTGATACAACTTATAGGCAATACTTGTTCTTTTCACTGAATAGCACAGTAATTGCCAAAAAAAAAAAAAAGTTGCAACTGTGTGGTTGACATTCTGAATGCTTTTAAGTACATACAACTTTTTATTAGCAAAAAAAATAGAGACTATTTCATAATTACTTATTTTGTCTACCTCAGTTTAACACAGAGAACAGCCTCAAAATAGCATTCTAATACTACACTGTTGTATTAGTCTATGATTGTATTGCTAAAGAGAAATGCTTTTAAAGGGAGTGATTTATAGAGTAGGGGTTTATCTGACTCATGTTCTAGTGACTGCCAAGTCCAAGAACATGGGTCCGGCATCACAACACAGCTGAGATAAGCAGAGGGAGGAAAGCCAGCAGGTGCAGAGAGAGGTAGAGCCGGAAAAGGTAGCAGACTTTCCCACTCTCGTTTGTCTCCACTTCATTCCCAATGGGATGATATCTGCCCCTATTGAAGGGGTTTCTTCCTTTCAAAAGGTTCATCACCTCCCAGTATATTTATATTGGGGATCAAATTTCAACACATGAACCTTGTGGGCGACAAAGCATTTCGCAAACCATAACAACTACCGGCGAAAATACAGAAAATAGGTTCAGTTGTTGTTCTCCAAACTGACCTTTTTGCTTGCCGGTGGTTACTCATTAATTCCTCATGGAGTCTCTGTAAGTCTGTCAAATTCCCCATTGCTTCCCTTTGCTTTTTCACCGGCCCCAGAGACAGATATACCATACCAGCCTTGTGGTGGTTGGCGCTTCTTCTGTACCCATTCATGTTTAAGGGCACAAGAAACACCTTGTCAGCTCATTTTGGTGGAAATATTGCCCATGGTTTTTGGTTTCGCTGTCTAGTTTCTCCCTCAATTTTTGTGTATTTGAAGAGATAAAAATATAAGCTGTCACAGGTGTTCAACCTTTCCCTAATCTTCTCACAAACATACATATAAACAAACCTGGACTATATCATTTTGAAATGAGGATAAGCCTTTTAATGTATAGTTTTCTAAATAGAATACTAATGAGTAAAATGACCTCTGTAATACTGGAAAGGATTAAAAAATGTTAATAAACTTTAGAAATGTGAACATTTAATACAGTCAATCAAGGAAATGTTGAAATAAACTCATGGGGGGCCTGCCAGTGGCATAATGGTTACATTGCTGGACCCCCACACAACCAATGGTTGTTCGAGTCCCGGACGGGTGACTTGAAACTCATGCCAGGTACATATGCGTACATGCCCAAAATCCTGAGAGGAAAATGGAGGACAAGAGGTTGCAGTGTGACCAACCCCTCGTGAGGTGATTTCTGTCTGTCTGTCTCTCTGTCTCTCTCTGTCTCTCTAGCACATGCATGTGCTTTATAGCAAAAATCCCTCTGAAAATAAATAAATAAATAGGTAGGTAGATAGATAAATTCATGGATTTTGCAAATAAGGAAATTACCTTGAGCTGCCAGAGAACATACCTTGCATGAAGGGGGCTGAAGCTGCTTTGTTCATTATCTCGTGGGTAGTTTTAGATTCAGGTGTAAATGCAATAATATAATCAGAGTCATTAAAAGTATCTACACGTCCCAGATTCACTGCAGGGATTTGAGAGTCATTAACTTGATGTAAATTGGAGGAAAGTAGGTATGCTAACAGCAGAGGAAGAAATGATAAAAGCCACTCCTACACAACAGTGAGAAAACAAGGAAGCAAATCAATAGACGTTCTAGCACAGCTACATCATCTCAAGCAATTTAAAACACTTATTTCTGTCATGCAGCCTGCGTTCCATTTTTTCCTCTCTGCTAGTTTTTGAACCTATTGATTTTCTTTTGTCCTTCAATCTGCACATTTTGAAATATGTACATTGTTCACCAAGACAAAGTCATATCAATTCCAATTATAACTGAGAATGTAAGTTTATCATACTTTAATACAGGTAGTAAAGGCTGCACTACTTTATAAATGGTTGAGTGATTCATAGTCATGAGGGGACCTGAGTGACAATGAAGAAATGGCAGGTGGCATGGAATAGATAATTAGCCTCCACCAACAGGAACAAGTAACATTTTTATCTTCTGCTGCTTTATACAGAAAAAGGTAGTCCCCAAATATTGCTCATCATAATTTTGAAATTCTTTGCCATTGTGACTACATTCTGGAAATGGAAATGCGATAAAATGCCTTTTAAGCCCAATGATAAGAACTCACGTTATTATTTAATTATAGTATCAAACACAAAGACTTTGAAAAGGTACATTTTGGGAGCAGCAGGTGGAATGGTGTTTAAAGCACTGGACTTTCACATGACTGGCTGCAGTTCAAATTCCAGACCCAGTAGCTTGAAAATCATGCTGGGGATGTGTGCATGTATGCCCAAAATCTTGAGAGGAAAACAGAGGAGAAGGCATTGCAGTGTGGCTAACCACCTTGGGCTGTTGATTTCTCCCTTTCTCTCTCACTGTTTCTGTCTTTCTCCAGTGAGCATTCATGCCCTAGGGTAAAAATCTAAATAATAATAATAATAAAAAATAAAGAATCGATATATATCATATGCACAATATGATCCTCTTAAGCTATGTGTGGAGGTCTGTGTCTACACCTATATCTCTCTATCTATAGAGATAAATAGATATAATGCTTTTTTAAAAAAGAACTAAAAGGTCAGAGGTAAAATCTATAAAATCTATAAAGAGTAGAATTTCAACACTTCACATTTACATAATCCTTTGCTTCATACAGGAATTTTGTCTATTTATCCACTGCCAATCTAAGCATTCAGAAATATTTGTTGAAAGAAAACACATATATGCACATGTGCACATACATACAATGTTCATAAGATCAGATGCTAATATACCAATTCTTGAACTATTGGCCCAAGAATTTAATCAGTTTTTGGTTCAAATATGTTGAAATTTTTTTTCTGAATTTAGCACATCTTTTACATAAAGCACACCTAATCACTTTTACATTCAGAAAATATTAAATACTATTTTAACAGAAGAACAATTTCAAACTGCCCTTTTCTTGTTTGCTTATATGTCCATTTTTTCTTTCAAATTGACATTGTATACAAAGTGCAATTGTGTAATAGTGCTATGGTTTGTCTTTTGATTGCTGTTGATACGTTGGGTTACTTTCTGAATGAATTCTTAATTAAATTATTTCTCTAGTTTTGACTTTGGCCCTGAGCTTCTGTACCTATGAGTTGATGAGATCGAAGTGAGCTTAGTTGTTGAGAATTGTTTCTTTCTGTGGTATAAAGATGTGCCTTTATTTTTCAGAAGGTCTCTGAGTATAAATTCCTTTTTTGTTTCCAGTGAGACTTCTCATCATGATAGGAGATAAATTTGATCTGATTTAACAGCAAAGCCCAGAATTTGGGGGGGCAGGAGACCTAATTGTTAATTAAAATTATGTTTCATCCTCCATTTTTTAAGACAGTTCTTGTAGAGAAGAGCCCGCGTTTGCTGACCCACGCTCATATGTCTCTTGTTCATTTTGACCTATTGGTTTTAAAAGGAGGAAACAAAGGAAGTAAATATGAAAGTCTCAAATAAAATTAAAAAAAACACTGTGCAATTAAACCAAAAAGAAACATTATAACAGTGGTTTCCAATTGGATGCATAGGGAAGAAGGGAGCCAAAAGGCTAAAAAAGAAAAATATAAAGAAATGTTCAAATTCAACATTGAGAAAAACAAAAATGAATACATGAGATATCATTGATCTCTCAGGTTGACAAAAATGAGAGTATTTATAGTCCAGTGTTGTCCCCAACACACTTGACATTGTTAGACTGTCTAGTGGGGATAAAGGGATTTTATGCACTGCTGATGGGAGGAGTAGACTCATTTGACTGTTCTAGTGATTCCTTCCAAGTTCATTACTACTTAGCATTATTTTACTGTCAATCAATTTTCCTCCTGTATCCCAGAATTTCTCTAGGATACATACACATGGGTTCATAAAGGGACCTGTTCAAGGATGCTTTTGAAAAAGTTGACTATTGTGGCATAGTGCTGTAAAGCAGATTTTGATGGACACAGTCCAGAATACTACATAAGATTCAGAAGCAATGAATTGGTATCCACCTGTCAACATGAAAAGATCTTAAAAACAGGGCTGCTTCAAAAAAAATAATAATAAAATAAAAGAAAGAAAAAGGAAAAGAAAGAAAGAGAAGAAAAGAAAGAAAGAAAAAGGTTGAAAGTTGTATCACGACATCAGTTAAATTAATTCACACTACACGTAATATATATTTTGTAAGCATACCCAAGAGTAAAAAAAACACCACCAAATACAAAAGTTACCTTGATAATAGGAAATGAGAATGAAGTTCAGGTTAAAATGGAAGTTGGAAGTTAAAGGAAATAAGATAGGAGTTTGGTTTGAACCAATCATTTTGTGTGCCACAACCTCAAGAGTATGATTAACTCAACCCTGTATCGACCTTTTATAACCAAAGTCCAAAAAAGCCCAAAGAAGACCATACACACACACACACACACGCACACACACACACAAATAACCAATAAGTCCAACAGCAACAAAATGCAAAGGCAAGTAGAAACTATCACAGACATCTCAGAAAATTTCATATTATTCATTATGACTGGAACAAAGATAAGTTGGAGATAGTGTAAATATAAGCTAATGGAGAAATAATGGTGTAGATAGTTCTAAGTGTTTCATAAGAATGAATTCGTTTGATTCTCACAATAATCTTTTAGCATAAATCCTATCATCCTCTCATTTTACAGATGAGAAGTATGAAGTACTCAGAGGCAAAAGGACTCGGCAACACAGTTAGTGGTGTCAGAACCAAGACTTGAACTCTGGAGACCTGACTGATAACCAATGTGCAATGCTGGAGTAGAAATCTGGCTAGGGAATGTGTAAGTTATTTCTCCCTTCAGAGCAAGCTGAGTCCACTGGCCTCCAGACAGGCAGAGATGAGTGCTAGGAGGGAGCCTTGCATTCACAGGCTTCCGGCTTGCATTCAACTACCAGGAGCCAGAAAATGCTGGAGCATAAAAAGAGGTAGATTACTTTCAAGAGGCAGAGAACATTTTTAAAAGAAAAATTTGATGACAAAAATCAGAAGTCTTTACATCTTACATGTACTTAAATAATATTCAAGAAAGAAAGATAAAAAGGAGTGAAAAGCAAATGATGGACTTAACATTTCCATTGATGTTAGTAAACAACATGAAATCTTCCAATGAGATAGGGAAAAATGTTATAGTCTTCCCAAACTGTCAAAAAAAAAATAATAACACAAAATCTGAAAATAATGAGAGGGTTTTTGTTTTGTTTTGTTTTAATAAAGATATGAGGGGTGGGGAATGTCATAGAGAAAAGTATTTGGTAGAGATGTCCATGAATAAGAAAAGATAGTCACAAGAGAATACAGTTGTAAAAAGTGCAGTAAAAATTCATTTTTCATGGGACCAGGAGTTGGCTTAATGGCTATGTCGCTGGACTCCCATGTAGTAGACCGCAGTTTGAGTCCTGGACCCAGTGGCTTAAACACATGCCAGGCACATGTGCATGCTTGCCCAAGATCCCGAGAGGAGAATGGAGAAGGAATTGTGGCGTGGTCATCCCCCCTGGGCGGTGATTTCTTGCCTTCTGTCTCTCTGTCTCTCTCTGTCTTTCTGATGAGTACATGTGGCCTATAGTAAAAACCGCTCAAAAAAAATTTCATTTTCTAGAATAGTCATAGGATATGTATATTTACCAAAAAGGCCATGTAACTACCAAACAGAATGACAATTTTAAAATGATACTTTTAAAATTGCAGGATAAAGGAAAATGTCTTCATGAATTGAGTGGCAGGGTAGTTCAGGAGGGAATAAACAGTTTACAAAGGAACAAAAATCATCCTGATAGCTTCAAAGTAGATGTGAAAAAAGTTTGATTGTTCAGTTTTCTCTGTAAAAATCTACCAACACCAAAGAAATATTTATTTGTAAAAACAATGAGAAAATGATTTAACCCCAAATTACAAACTTACTACTATACAAAATGTAAGTCAAATTATTAAATTTGCCTCAAATCTAGAAAAAAAAGTATATAAGAATTGTCAACTCTCTTGACCAAGATGTGTACATTACTCTACAATTATTTGGGAAGAACTGAAACCCATAAATATGCTTCCGTTGCAATGTGTCAGTGAAGGCGAATCTGCCCAGATACAAAATCTTTGTTTTCTTCAACTCCAAGTTTGGGCTATGGAAGAATGTAAATTGCCTTTATACCAACTGTAGCAACAATCCAAATAAAAGTAATACAATATTTCCTGTGCCATTAGCAAACAACAACAACAAAACAAACAAACAAAAACAATAGATTCAAGGAGTTCTTGATGAGCTGAATTTTATAGGCAAACACCTCACCTGGGTATGCACAGGCAGAGATGGGGAGAAAGCCATTTGAAAGGATGAGGAGAAAAACAATCAATACTTCGATGATAATATGGGCTGATAGAAAAAGAAGGAATCTAAAATAGCTCAAAATGCAGGAAAACAAACAAACAAAAAAAAAAGCCAGGGCCAGCATAAGGCATAGTGGTTACATTGCTGGACTCCCACATAGCAACCCCAATTTGAGTCAGGACCCAATGGCTTGAAAATCACGTGGGGTACTTGTGCATATGCCCAAGATCCCAGGAGGAGAGTGGAGGAGGAAAGGATTGCCACAAGGCCATCCCCTTTGAGGGGTGATTTCTCACTTTGCCGCTCGTTGTCTCTGTTTCCCCACTAGTACATGTACCCTAAGGCAAAAACCTCTTTTAAAAAATGCCTAACAATTTTTGCTTCATCCTACAGACACAATGAGGGATGCTTGAGAAATAGACCAAAACCCTAAGGTTCCATGTATTCTCATGCTGCATGGATTCTGAGGCCCTGCCAGAGTTGGACCCAAAGGTGACAGAAAACTAAAGCCCAGGGCCCCCTCCCATCTCAAATAAGGATGATATCACAATGAAATGGGTGCAGTTTCTGGTCTGGTGTGAAACTTAGTCAATGCCACTCTGTCCTAAAACCAGAGAGAAAGCTGAACTAACTGAAAAATCAACAGTTCTTTTTTTGATCCATAAGAGAAGTGAAAGTCACAGGCTGATCGCTATTCTCCAAATTGAAGAAAACAACAGGGAAATAGAATTGTAACTTAATGGAGCAGAAACCTACCAGTTAAACCTTGGCAGGAACCAGTGCCAGAGTAGAGAACACCTGAGCTACACCTGAGCTGTAACTGATAGTGTAGACAATCCTGAGAACTAGAACTCCAGGGGAATCCAGTAATGGAGAAATAGGAGAGACTTCTGTGAGTTTTACTCCCAGCAGCACTACCGGGTTTTTCTAACCAAACCCACATTATAGTGAAACTTACTAAACTGTGCTAACTTCTCTCTGCCTCTTAGTGGTCAAGTATTAAATTTTACTCTTTTTTTCTTCTTCCTTTGGTTTTTCTTAAACTTTATTTAGTTGGCAATAATGGATACCACACAAGTAAGCAGTTTGAGGGTACTCAGCTTGTAGGCATTCTAAGATAGCAATGACCGGGACCAGCAGATGGCATAATGGTTACATCACAGGACTCCCATGTAGTTGACTATGGTTTGAGGTCTGGACCTGGTGGCTTGAAACACACACTCGGTGTGTGTGTGTGTGTGTGTGTGTGTGCCTGAAATCCCAAGAAGGGATTGTGGCATGGCTATCCCTTCTGGTGGATGATTTCTCACTTTCTATTTCTCTGTCTCTCAGTGTCTCTCCAGCAAGCACATGCACCCTATAGCAAAAAAGCTCTCTAAGAAGAAAAAAAAAGATAGCAATGATCATATCTTGAGCACTCTGTTTCTTTCTTTTCTTGCACATTTCTCCCTCCCTTCCCTTTGCTTAAGCTTAAAGAGCTCTGCTTTGGGGCAGCTAACAAAGTGGGTGTAAGCCTTGTCTCTGTCTCTCATCTTCTCAGTAGGCACCTCTGGAGTAAAACCTTCCCTTCTCTCAACTCCGGTGCCTCTGCTATTGCATTGCTGGACATAGAACACACAAACTCAGCTCAATAATGTTCTCACAGTGATTATTGGAGAAAAATCCTCTTTGGTTCAGTTAGGAGGAGAGGAGATGGGACTATTTTGAAATACACCAGAGCATTATGTTCTTAACAAGGCCTGTCCCCTCAAAGAAATTATTTAACCAGAGCCTATCGTATGTATAGAAACAGGCGTTCCTTACCCATACCCCCACAACACACACCGTTTTTTTTAAAAGCATGTGGTATACTAAATCCATTAAAACCTTAGCACATTAATCATAATCCACTGGGGTTTTATCAGAGCCTTACTGACCTGGGGAAAGGAAAGCCAGCTCTAGCCATCCATATGGGTGAGGACTGACAAGTACTTGTGAAGTCTGCAGTCCAGGATCTCTCACTGAAAAACCAGAACTTAATCACAGGACTAGAGAACATTTCCCCTCTTCCCATAGCTCACCACTACGCACTATTTACAGCAGTTCCCTTTGTTTGGCACTTTGTGTCCAGCTCTTACGAAAGAGTTACAGACATGCTAAACAGCAAAACACACTGCAGAGAGCACACACAGATATGGCAAGGATGTCGAAACATCAGACTAGGAATTTGAAAAGCATGATTACTATGCTGAGTTTTAATTAATTAAGTAGATGACATGTAAAAAAGGAAAAAAGAAATACCTGTTTCTCTACACACAAGACTTCTGACATCAAATTTGTGGGATCCCCCTCCCCCAATCATTTTTCTAGTTCTCTGAAGACACCAACTGGGTGACCTATAATTCAGTTTAATTTTGAGAGTTTCTACCTGGAGGTTACATAGACACCCCCCGCACCACCAGGTTAAAGACTCAAGACACCTCCCCATCCTCCATCAGATGCCAGTTCAAGGCTGGTCACCTGTACTTCTGGTTGAATGAAGGTTCTCCACCCTCTTCTTGTGCTTGGTAATTTGCTAAAGTGGCTAGCGGAATCCAGGAAAACAATTTACTTATTACTACCAGTTTATTATAAAGGTATCACTCAGGAACTTCCAAAGAGAAAAGTTGGATAGGGTCAAGGTATTTAAGAAGTGCAGAGCTTCCATGACCTCTCTTAGGTGTGCCGCCTTTCCAGACCCTTGAAGGGTTCACCAGCCCAAAAGTTCCCCACACCCCCTCAGTTAGGGCTTTTATGGAGGCTTCGTTACATAGGCATAATTGATAAGGTCCTTGGTTATTGGTGACAACTCAATCGTCAGCCCATCTTCCATCCCTGGAGGTCTAAGGGTGAGGCTGCAAGTACCACCTTCCAATCACGTGCTTAGTTCCCCATCCTGAAGTTATGAAGAGTTTTTGTTTAACATTTAAAAAATCACTCTTATCAGTCCAGAGATCCAAGGGTCTTAAAAGTTGTGTCAGGGGAACCAGCAGTTAGCGTAATGGCTATGTCGCTGGATTCTCACGTAGTCGACTGTGGTTCACATCCCGGACCCGGTGGCTTAAATCTCATGCCGGGCTCGTGTGCATGCGTGCCCAAGATCCCAAGAGGAGAATGGAGGAGAAGGGATTGCGGCGTGACCATCACCCCTGGGGGGGGTGATTTCTCGCTTTCTGTCTCTATGTCTCTCTCTGTCTGTCTGGTGAGTGCACGCGCCCTATAACGAAAAACCTCTCAAAAAAAAAAAAGTTGTGTCAAGAACCAGGAACCAAATATTATAACCAAAAACTACAACAAAAGATGCTCCATTCACCCCGTCACTTGGGAAGTTACATGGGTTTAGTAGCTCAGTGTTAGGAAATGGAGTTGGAAGCCAAATGCATATTTTTTATAATATCATGAATAGATGGGCAAGATAAGTGGAGAGACGGGAATTTGAAGAAAGAACCAAAAAAGGAACACTTAAGTTTAAAAACATTGCAAAAAAAAAAGTCAAAAAATTTGCCAGAGGGCATATTTGCCAGAGAGAGAAGGAAAAAGTGAGAACGTATTCTCCATAGGAAATAATCACACTGCAATCCCTTCTCCTTCATCTCTCCATCATTTAGGGATTTGGGGACTATACACAGATGTTCTCAGCATGTTTATTGAGCCATCAGGCTTGGGACTTGAACCACATAGTGGGCCATGTGGAATCCAGCCTCCTTAAACACCATGCCACTGGCTGGCCCCAAATAATGTCTTTAATGGGTTTATTGAGAGACTACACATGGCTGAGGAAAGAATCCAACACTAAAAAGTAAAGTAAAAAATAATGAAAAAAAGAAGAGAACAGGATATTTTGCAACTATGGAAAAGCTAAAAAAAAAAAAAAAGTGCAACATAAACTTATTGGGAATACCAAAAATAGAAGAAAGAGAGAAGGGACTAGAAAAAAATATTTAAATGTTTGAAACAATAGTGACTGAGATTTTTCCTGGATTAATGTGATGTGCCAAACCATAGATCCAAGAAGCCCAGAGAACATAGTACATGATATATGATCTAAAACAAAGCAAAACAAAACAGACAAACAAGCAAAAACTACACCAAGGAATGTCATTTCAAACTACAAATCAAAGATAAATCAAAAATAAAGAAAACATTCTGAAAGAAGACAGAGAAAGAAAACACTGTAATAGTAGAGAAGCAAAAATAAGATGTATGTCCAACTTCTTTTCAGAAACTACACAACCAAGAAGAAAGTAGAATGAATTACTTACTATGAGTAAAGAAGAAACCACCAGACTAGAATTCTCGAAAACTGAAGGGAAAATAAATACTTTCTTAAACAAAAAAAATAAATAAATAAAAAAGGGAATTGTCAATAGACCCAACTTGCAAGAAATCTTAAAAGAAGTTGGTCTCAGGACCAGCAGTTAGTGTAGTGGCTATGTCGCTGGAATCCCACGTAGTCGACCGTGGTTCAAGTCCTGGACCCGGCGGCTTAAACTCACGCCGGGCGTATGTGTGTGTGTGCCCAAGATCCCAAGAGGAAAATGGAAGAGAAGGGATTGCGGTGTGGCCATCCCCCTGGGGGGTGATTTCTCACTTTCTATCTCTCTGTCTCTCTGTCTTTCTGGCGAACGCTTGCACCCTATAGTGAAAACCTCTCCAAAAAAAAAAAAAGAAGAAGAAGTTGGTCTCATAGTGCAGAGGAAGCCATATCCCACATGGTCAGTCATGGTTTGAGTCCTGGCACCATTAGGAACAGACCAGGTATGTGCAACGTCTAGGATCCTTATGAAATGAACTGGAGGAAAAAATATTGCACTGTGACCAGGCCCCATTAGTGGGTTCTCTCTCTTTTTCTGTCCCTCATGTGTATGCACACATTCTCTGGCCTTAAAAAAAAGAAAGAAGAAAGCAGAAAGAAAGAAAGAAAGAAAGAAAGAAAGAAAGAAAGAAAGAAAGAAAGAAAGAAAGAAAGAAAGAAAGAAGAAAGAGAGAGAGAAAGAAAGAAAGAAAGAAAGAAAGAAAGAAAGAAAGAAAGAAAGAAAGAAAGAAAGAAAGAAAGAAAAAGAAAGAAAAGAGAGAGAAGGAAGGAAGGAAGGAAGGAAGGAAGGAAGGAAGGAAGGAAGGATGGAAGGAAGGAAGGGAAGGAAGGAAGGAAAGAAAGGAAGGAAAGAAAGGAAGAGAAAGAAAGATGGATGGAAGGAAGACATGTTAAAGGAATGTCATTCAAAAGAGAGTAAATGAAGGGTAAATGACATAGTTCAAAAAATTTGGATCCACATAAGGAAAGAAAGAATACCAGAGCATTTTTCTGGTATGTGTGTGCATGTGTGTGTGTGTGTGTGTGTGTGTGTGTGTGTGTGTGGCTTTAGAGAGGGTCTTGCTGTGTTGCAATCTTTCTGCTACCATCTCCCAAGCAGCTGGGACTATAGGCACATACACCACTACAGGAGATGAGCCAGGGATCAAACCCACACCTCACATGTGGCCTCAGCCTGCTGACCAGAAACATCTATGTACACTCTCCATTGGCTGGGCCTGTTTTTCTTATCCGTAAGTGGTCTAACAGATGATTTGTTCAAAATATAATTACAACAATGTATAGGATTATATGTGCTTATGTGTGTGTGTGTGTATATACACGCGTGAATATATACATATGCATATATACATATACATATATATACACACACATATGTTTATGCATGTTTATAGCAAAATGAGTGGAAGGGACAAAAGAAAGGAATTAGGATTATTTCGTTATTTTGAGGTACTCATGCTACCTGTGAAGCAGTATAGTGTTATTTGAAAGTGGACTTGGATTCATTGTAAATGTATGTTGGAAATTCTAAGGCAACCACCACACACACACACACACACACACACACACACACATACACAAACACACAAAAAGGAGTATAACTGGTAGTCTAAAAAAAAATAATAAAGTGAAATCACATGAAATACTCCGTTAAAACCATGAAAGGCAGAAAAAAAGAAAAACTAAGATAGGAGCAAAGAATAGAACAAGGGCAGCAAATACAAAACAGTAACAAACATGGTAAATATCGATCAATTATTATTTGGAACATCAGTGGTCAAATGCACCAATTAAGACAGAGATGATCAGGATCAGGAGGTAAAGGCAGCTGGATCCCACATGGCTGTTGGAGTGTTTCGAGGCCTAGACCCAGTGGCTTGAAAAAATGCCAGGTACATGTGTGTGCATGCCCAAAACCCCAGGAGGAGAATGGAGGAGAGGGGATTGCAGTGTGGCCTTCTTTCCTGGGGTATCATTTCTCAATTTCTTTGTTTCTGGTGAGTGCACACATCCAAGCTAAATTATAATAATAATTTTTAAAAAGAGAGAGATTGTCAGCGTGGTTGGAAAACAAAACCTGATTACATGTTACCTATAAGAAATCCACTCTAAATATAAAAACACATATAGATTAAAAGTGTATAGATAGGCCAGCTCAGTGGCATAGTGGTAACACACCATTCAAGTGATTTAGGATCCATATGCAAGATCATGGATTTGGTTCCACGGTCAACCTGTACATACCTGTACAACATGTGCCTGTGATTCTGGCTGGGAAGACTGAGGGAGGGATCACCACATGAGATCCTGTGGAGGATATTTGTCTTTCTGTCTGTCTCTCTATTTCCCACTTTTATGAAAGAAATAAACTTTTTAAAAAAAGTAAATGTATAAAGAAAGATGTACCATGCTAACACTAATAAAAAAAAAAAAATGGAATGGCGGGACCAGCAGTTAGTGTAATAGCTATGTCTCTGGACTCCCATGTAGTCGACCACGGTTCGTGTCCCGGACCCGGTGGCTTAAAACTTACACTGATTGCATGTGTGTGCATGCCCAAGATCATGAGAGGAGAATGGAGGAGAAGGGACTACGGCACGGCCATCCCCCCTGGGGGGTGTTTTCTCGCTTTCTGTCTCTCTGTCTCTCTCTGTCTGGCGAGTGCACGCGCCCTATGGCAAAAACCTCCCCCCCCCCAAAAAAAGAAGGAATGGCTATATTTCA